GGCTTGTGGCTTGTAAATTACTTAAAACAGGACTTTTAAATGTTAGCATATTTGTTAGCAAATTTGTTTTTGACTTTGATTTATTGACTTGATTACTAACTCTTTAAAACTTGTGCTAAGGTAAAGGCTGCGTTAGGTATGCCAGATTTGTGTTATTCATTTGCTGGATTGATCACAATGCTAATCATTTCAAGTAGTGCTCACATTAAACAGGCTTGTGTTGTGTAACTCCTGATATGTTCTTACAGAAAATGAGAAGAGCTGTTTTTGTATGGGCCAAATGAAAGAAAAAAAAACGGGTCTTCTCATAATTGTGCTTTCACCCGTTTTCATCCCATCTCTTCTGTTTTCACCCTTTCCACAAGTTTGCACTCATTAATCACAGTGCTGGACTCCTGCTGAGAGCTGAACAGGTCCATCAATTTTTAGCCAGATCGCTGTGAGGAACAGTGCACAAGCAGAAATAAATCTATAGTCTTTATATGCAAGTCTTGAAGGTTAATTCTGTATAATTCAATGCAACCTCTTTGTCTGCTGTGATTGTTTTTAAACGTGCAAGACTTGACGGGAGTCCCCTTTTTGTAGGTCAGTGTGGACACTTCATGATTGGGTAAGCTTGGAAGGAGCGGCATGAGGGAGGTGGATTATTAGGAATATGTCAGGGAGATTATTCTTTTTCACTCATCTTCCTGGTCTATTTTCTCCTCGCCTGGAGATGCTTGTCAGGTGCTTTATTTGAACCAACAACGCTTCTGAGTTTGTAGTCTCCCTGCTGTGTTAATGAGACTGATGTTATAAATGCCAGTGGTATATCCTATTTGTTTAGCACTTTAGTATATCTTTGCATCCTCTGCTGCCAGGTAGATGCATAGATGTTGTTATAAACCATTCCACTCCTACATAAAGACATTGCATCAGTAGCCCCCTTTTTATTGATCCTCGTGCATTTAAAATCTGGTCGCTTCTCACTTCAGCTGCCCTAGGCATGCTGCCGTGTTTTAGAAGGGTTTTTAAATGTATATTCTTTTATTCAACTTTGTTTTGCTTGATTCATTGCTAGCAATGTTTGAATCAGCAAAGCTGCAAAAGCTAAGGCCTGGCAGACTAAACCCTGACACACAGTGCAGTCAGAGGCTTTGCATCTGCATGCACAGATTACCACAAGTCTGACTCAAAAAATGTTCATCTTCTTTTTTTGAAACTACAGACCTCGCTCTTGAGCACAGCTCAAAGCTCACAGTCACTGAAAAGTGTGTCCTGTACAAAAATCATAACAGAGAAGAGGTCATTTATCCTTTAACACAAGCATTGTTGAATAAACTGCTTTCAGTTCGGTGGGCCACAGGTTCGACCGTCCTAGGATTAATCAAAATTGACCCGGTCAAAATCTCTTTGCGTGAGGGGGCTGTGCCTGTTTGCAGAGCCCAGTACGCACTCACACAACAGCAAGTCAGTGGAATTGAAAACACTATTCATGGAAGTTTGAAAGCTGGAGTTTTGACTCCCACCCACTCTCATTGGAACACGCCCATACTTCCTGTACCAAAGCCAGGAAAACCCGATTACAAGATGGTTCATGATCTCAGAGCTGTAAATAAACTTGTGATTCCAACTCATGCCACTACAAATCCTTACACCATGTTGAATGCAATAAGCTCTGAACACAAGTTTTTCACATGCAGTGATCTTGAAAATGCCTTTTTCTCGGTGCCACTCGACCGAGACTCCCAAAACATTTTTGCTTTCCAGTACAAGGAAAAAAACTTACATATCAGAGGCTACCAATGGGCTCCATAGTCAGCCCATCCTTCTTTAATCACATTCTGAGACAACACTTGAAAAATCTT